CTTATTTTATTAAAAAAATAATATTTAGCTTATAAAGCAAAAAAAATTTTTTTTGGTAGTTTCCTTCCTTTCTATTGTAAAGAGCCTATATATATTTTAGCTAAAGATAGTTACTAAAATTAAAAAATGGTACAATTGAGTTGTAACTTATGACACAATTAAATTTTCTTATAATATAATTAAGTTGCAACTCAATTGAAATTTGAAAATAATTATGGGAACTATCTTTAACTTTAGCACTAATTAATTTTAATATTATAAATTATTAATAAAATAATTACATTTATTAAAATATAATTTAATTAGTAATTTATTAATTCATGCTGAAGTATATATATACATTAAAATAGTTTTACACAATTTCTTAAAAGTGTGTTATATAGATTTAAAGGTATTTTTTAAAATATGTTAAATACGTAATCATTTTTAAAATTCTAATATATTTATATTATATAATTTTATATACTATAATCAGACTAATAATCATTTCAATAGCAGTGTTTTAGCGTGTATGCATAGTTATTATAGCTATTATCTTCAAAAAAGTCAATTTAAATGTTTAATTTTTTTAAATTATTTTTAGAATAAAATAAAATATACGTGAATGTATTCTAACAAATATGATAAAAGATTCAGTTTAAAGATAGTCACCACAATTAAAAAAATGGTCCAATTGAGTTACAACTTATGGCACAATTAAATTTTCTTATAGTGCAATTAAGTTGCAACTCAATTGAAATTTAAAAATAATTATGGGGACCATCTTTAATTTAGTTTAAAATAAGATCATTAATAAAAATATAGAAAATAAAGACAAAGATAATTTAAATAATACTGAAACAGTAATAGACAATCTAATTATAGATAATTTATTAAAATTTGCAAAAAAAAAATCATTTTTAAAATTATAAATTTACTATCTTTATATAAAATTTTCATTTTTATTAATATTTTAAATAAAATAAATTATTAAAATACTTAAAAATAATCTAAAAAAAATGATCTAAATTAGCTAAAAAATTCAAATTTATTCTTTTAATAATTTATAATTTGTTATCAATATTTTTGTAATATATTCTTTTGTCTAATAAAAATTTTATTAATATTTATATATTAAAAATTTTTAATTTAATTTGTCAATTAATAAATAATAATATTAAAACTTCATAATTTTTATTAGTTGATTTATATGATAATATTGAATTTTTATGTAATTTATAATGATTACTCTTGTTATGATATTTTTTATAAATTTCTGAAAGTTTTTTAATCATTATAATAGTAATTATTCATATTGCAAATTATAGTATATCTAAATAAATTTAGTAAATTAAACAAAATTTTCATTTATTTTAAAAAAATAAATAAATAATAAATCTTATAATTATTTATTAAATTCTTCTATTATTACCTATTTAAATACTATTATAAAATTGTTTTAAGATTAAAGTTAAAAATAAAGTTTTACTATATTTTTACAATATGATATTTTCTGAATCAGAAGTAATTTTGAAAGTTATAGTTGAGAAAAATTAGAAGAACCGAAAAAGAGAGATAATTATCTGAGTTTTTGTTTACAATTTCTTCAAAAATAGTAAATTATAAGAATTGTTGTATAACTAATGCTTTTGATTCTCCTCTAAAAATGATATATTAGTCTTTAAAAAGAAAAGATAAAAAGCTAAAAGGTATTTTTATTCTATTTAATTCTTGGAATTTAATATTTTTAGAAGTTTATTGTTATTATTTACTGGATTGAAATTTTAAGAATTAAAGTTAAATTAAAGTTAGAATCAGATGAATTATAAAAAAATTGAAAAAAAAAATAAAAGTTTATGTTTACATTTTTGCGTGTTTGTATCTAAAAAAAAATTTCATTTTTATATAAACTTACTCCGCAAGTAAAATAAGTATGAAACATTTTCTGAATTTTCGGGATGGGTCAAGACAGGTAATTTAAAAATCAAAATTTTACTACTTTGAATAATAAAGCTAATAGTATATAATAAATTAGTTTATAATAAAGTTTAATGCTGGCCGAATATAAAACTTAATTTAGCATGATTTCTTTAGGCATATATAATGCTTTTAGCGCTATCAAAATTAAAGTAACACAACCATAATTTTTAAAATGTAAAAAAATAAAACTTTTCTCGAATGTTTGTAATGTTTATATTTATAATTATTGATATGATTAACTGTTAATTATTATTCAAATTATTTATAGGATTAATACTACTTTGACTTTTCTTGAATAGCATTGTGAAGACGTATTTTCAATATATCACAATATTCATCTTTCTCAACTACCTCTAACAAATATTTTGGTTCTATAAGAATTGCTTCTAAAGGTATTTCAAATCCTAATTTATCAAATATTATATGAATCAAAGCTTCAATGCCTTTTCTTTCTTCTCCAAGGTCATTATCTAACACAACTTTAAATATTTTACTAAGATTCTCTATGAATAAAGTCAAAATTGGTCTAGGCACAATTGTCATCTTATCTTCTGTATCAGGAGATGCTGTAGTAAAACAATACTGAAACCAACAAAAGTGCGATGACGCGTAAAAAGTAAAAATAAACAGCGTTGTAAGAGTTTGTAAATTTTTTAGTACTTCGGATGAATTGGTTTGGAGAGAGAAAGAAAATCTTGAAATTCGAAGTCGAGAAAATGATGACAACCAAATATCAAGTATTATTCGGTTAATTTCTTTAAAATCATCATCCTAAATAAAATTTGTTATTAAAAGGGGGTAAAAAAATTAACAATAAAATTCCATGTTACCTTGCTCGATGAATTAGAATCATTTACGAAATTTTGATATTTTTCTTTGCATAATCTGTGCAGTAATGCCAGAGTAAGAATCACTCTCGTCATAAACCTAAGGTTATCACAAATAATAGTTGTAAACAATAAGTAAATTTAGAACATCGTCATAAATTTACTTACTTGAACGGGACATTTATAGCGAATTCGGCAATATCCAATAGTAAAAGAATGATTTCATCTCTTCTAAAAGTTAAAAAGTTTTCATAAATTGGATTCAACTCGGTTTTACGACCCGTTAATATATTGAAAATATCAGAATATTCATAATCTAAAATATCCTAGAATTCGATTAGACGATTACTTTTAATTTCTTTGTCAAGGAATAAAAGAATATGTATATTTTAATAAAATTAAACCTGATTATTTTTGAGAAACTGTGCAAGCTCTAACTCTAAAAGTTCAAGACGATCCAAATATTCGTTCACGATATTATTATACATTAAAGTTGTCAGAAAAGGTTTCATCTTCAACTTTTGTATTAATTAAAAGAGTTAATAGATGGATTAATTGTTACAACGAATTAAAGCATTAAAGCATTAAAGCATATCACTATTTTAATTATCATACCGACTCAATTTCCTGGAATGTTATCAATTGTCCAAATCTTAATTGATTTAACAAAAGATCGATTTGGCTGGGAAATTCAGCTTTATAAATTTTAAACCTGATTTAAATTATAAATAAAAAAAAAGTTAAACAATAAATTATATATATTAAAATAATAGATTGAAGCATCATACATAATATGAAGCGGGCGTAATTTTGTGAAATCTTGACGCGAAATAATCTATATAACATAAAATTCACAATGAATGATTGAAGTAAAAGCCAAATCCTTTACAGCTATGAATTAATTGCGCACCTTACAAAGATCCGATTGATGTATTCGATGTTCACTTGGATGAAGCGTAACAATATCTAAAATATCTTGACACGCATGTAATCTGATGGTATTGAAAGAAATTATTATGATATTATATGAAATCAAACTACAAAGGTTTTTTATACTATATCATCATGCATACCTCTGAGAAATAATTATTTCTTCATTAGTATAATCTGGGTTTACTTTAATATCATTAACCTTTGAAATTCCTTGTACCATTCGTAAGAGCTCAATATCTTCATATAACAAAGTTTTCGATATCTTTAAAATATAATTAACATCTAATTAGAATATTTTACCAAGAATTAAAATAAATTTTTTTTTTTACCTTGCAAAACTTTTCAGAAAGAAAAGCACGAAAAATTTTAATTCTTTGGAATTCCGCAGCATCCGCGTCGACATCTTCGAGATTAATTGAATATAGCCATCCAGCCTGATCTCTTATAAATGATAGTAACCACTGAATAGTTTGTCCCGGTATCTCACTATCATCAAAAACTTGTTTAATTAACAGCTCAAGGCTTGGTCTGAATGGAACTTTTCATGATGTTTAAACTTCAGATTTTATTTATTATAATTCGTGCGAAATTTAACAGATTATATTATTTATACTGACAAAAGTTATTCGGTAGCTCGAATGTATTGAAAAACTTCAATATTGATGTATATGTTTTGGGATTCGCCGATTCACGTAATCTTTTTGCTAAAACATGAGCCAGAAAATTTCCATTGAACTAAAGAAGAAAATCGTAAAACGAAATAAATGTTAATATACTTTAACATATCTCACGTGTATTAAAATTTGTACATTACCGTTAAATCACCATCAGGTACAATATTATTTGAACAAATATAAGTCAAAAGGATGTTTTGATATGATTTATATGTACTATTTTATTTTAAATAATCATTAAAAATTACAGTAATAGAGTATAAAAAATATTTAATAAATGCAAACCTTGGAAGCCTAGCGGCAATTTCAGGCGCGACTTCCCAAGTATGAGAATGTAAATAGTTATATTCTGTGGAAATTACAGCTTTTGACTCGACATGGTCAAGAAGTAAATTAACAAAAGTTTCAGGTTCCATTTGGACAATGTCTCAAAAATTTTGAGATAAAGATTATCAATAAATAATATCAGTTTTGGTAATTCATTTTTTTAATTTTTATATTCCGCTCTATTATATTTTTCAAATTCTGATTTAAATTTTTTTTTCTGAATTAATATTCAAAGAATACAGGCTTTTTAGAGACGAAGTGAAGTTGATCAGTATTGAATTACTTAATTTTTATTATTCAGTAAATATTTATATGATTATTTTTTTATATTTGTATTAATCTTTTATTTTTATTATATTAATTTTAGATTAAATTTCAAAAGTAAATAAATTCAATTGATTTATTGTATTTTAATAAATATTTTACAAAAATATAATAAATTAGAATAGTAGTTATCTATAGCTTAAGATCTGACTCATTCTCTTTTTACATATACTGAAGTCAAGAAATCTCAAAACAATATATCACATGATCTTAATAACAAAAAGAAAACATTATAAATTATAATATTAAAAGATTAGAAAATAATTAATCGAATGGAGAGTCATAATAGATATATAATTAGCTGAAATCTTATGATATAGAATAAAGTTAAATCAAATAATAAGTAATATAAACTTATCATAAGATATAAACAAATCACAAAATACAGAAAAATAAATTATTAAAGTCATAAAAAAAAATGATAAAAACCTTTGAAATTAAAGAAGAAAAAAAACAACCTATAAATATATGTAAAAATTACACAAAAGTTCAAATAAAAAAAACTAACCAAATGAAATTATAGAATACTTATGTAATTTATATTACTAAAAAATTAATGAAAATAATAAAGAAAAAATACAAATATATATATTGTATTTTAAATGATAATTGTTATTAATCAACAAATTGAGACACATTAACTTTCATTTGATGAATATTAATTATCAGCTGATACAAATAAAAAAATTATCAAATTAAATTGTTTTTTTAAGAAAATATTAATTCCTATTAGTTTATTATGTATATTATTAAATTTAAAATAAAGACCATCATATAAAACTTTTTTAAATTTTATTAACAAAAAATTTCAAAAAATTTATTTTATTATTTATTATCTAACTTGTATAATAATAAATTTAACGAGAAATAAGTAAATAATAATAATACAATTAAAAATAAAAATGAAACTTACTTTACTTCTTATTTTAACATTATTAATCACTATAATATCAATTACTACAAATATTTCTTATTTTTTACATTACATTTCTTACTACTATAAGATTCTTTGCAGTTGCATATTAAACTTGTAATCATTCCTATATTTTGAAAATATGTAATTTTACAGAAAGTAATTTTATTTAAAAGTATTTCATTAAATTCTAAAAATTTTTTAGTATCAAATAATTCAATTTCACTTGCTAGATAAAGAATATTGATAATTTCAAATTTACTTTTTAACCGGTATTGATTAATGATTTTTTTTTAGAAATTTACATAAAATGTAAATCAATTAACATTAAAATGATTAATTTTTGAAATAGAAATTCTAATTAAATCATTAATTTTATAATAGATTAATCTTTTTCTTTCTTTATTCATTTGGTAGAGTTAGATATCAAGATTCACAAAGTTCTATTTTAGATGCATTTCATCAATTTAGAATACAAGATGAAATAAAGAATCATTAACATCAATTTTAACTAAATAAATTATATAAATCATCAAATATGAATTTAACTATTTTTTGATATAATTTTTAAGATCTTGCTGTAGCTTTTCTTAATATTTTATGGTTTATAATTATAGTGATATTTTATAATAGTATAGATGATATTTTATTCATAATATCAATAAGGATAAGATCATATTTCTGATTCTATGACAATTTTTAACCATTTTTTTAAATTAAAAATTTAGTTAATATAATAATAGAAATTTTGCAAAATAATAAATCCTAATTTAAAATTTATTTTTTTGCTTTTTTCTTTATCTAATAATAGAATTCTAGTATTAATAAAGAATTATATTTCATTATTTTAAACAATATTCTATAATTTTTATTTAAAAAATTATTAATTTTAATAAAAAATAATTAACATATATAGTAAATATAAAAATTATTATTAAAATAGATAATAAAATTAATAATATTTAGAATATTTGATAAAGAATTTTCTAAAAAATAATTTATTAATTAGTAGCAATTTTAAAGGTTAATGTAGGATTAAAATTAAATAAATAAATATTTTGCCAAACAAATGTTCATTAAAATCAAAATCATCATCTAAATTTTAAATTAACTTATAAAAATTTGTAATTTAATCATTTTAGAAATTTATTTTTCTTCATAAATATCTTTGGTAAATAATTTATCTATTAAATTACAATTTTTATGAGATTTATCATCATAAACAAGTTTATAGATTTTTTATGTGATCAGTAAATAGAATTATTTATAGATAAAACTATTAAATAAATTCTATATGATTAATTACTTCTTTTAAAAATTTCCTTTCATTTTTTTAACTTTGTTATAAAATACTATATGTTTTTTATAATAAGTCCTATGATTAAAAATGATATGAACTTCTATTAATAATTATTGTAGATGACCAAAGATCAATAAGTTTCTTAATTATATTAATATAAAATTCTTTTTTATTATCTAATTGTAAAATTATTAGGGATAAGCTTATAGAAAAAAATAGATTAAATAAAAAGCTGGAGTCTTAATAGCTTATTTGAAAGTAAGTAATTTTACTCATAAAAATTATGTAAAATAACTATAAACATGATAAATATATTTATAATTACTATATGCATTATAGAACAGATCAATTAAATCTATATATTAAATTTTAATTTAAAGTTAATTATTACATTAAAAGGATAATTTATATTAATTTAATAATTAAAGTATAATTTACCTGTACATGAGATAAAAAATTCTTTGCAATTATTAGTTTATTTATCAAAAGATAAATGAAGATTTTAAATACATATATAATATAATTATTGATAAATTTTTAACAATATTTTATTTAATAAAACTTAATTTTGCTTTATTAATTATCATTTATCTATTTCAGCATATATTTTATATAATATTTCATATACTGAATAACACTCTTATAAGAGTGTTATTCAGTTCTGCTATAATGTTATCTAATTATAAATATAATATTATCTAGCTACAAGTATAATATTATCTAGTTACTATTTTTAGTGTTTTATGGCCTTACTATTGCTTTATTACTATTTACTTGATTTTATTGCTCTATAGCTTTTTTATTGCTTTGTAGATATTTGCTTGATTTTATTGCTCTGTCCTCTTTTATTTCCTTCTAGCTATTCGCTTATTTTTACTGCTTTACGGTCTTTTTATAGCCAAGATGCTAGGCCGATATTGATTGCAAATAATCATATAACTAAAATTTTCAAGATCGCGTGATCGATAATTCATATTGTACCATTCTTGTAATCTTGCCTTTTGTATCTCTTTTGATTGCTAAGAATAAGATACATATGAAGTGTTAAATTAGTTCAGGCTATATTACTTTCATACCTTTTTTTGTATATTCTCCTGAACTTTTCTGCCTTTCTGACCCCTTTTCTGCCTATCGGTAGTGACACCTACAAGCAAAATTTTTATTTTCTTTTCTTAATATAATTTTACTCATGGAAGTCATCTTTTTTTTACTCTTGTCTTTGCTCCTATACTTCTTAAATCCTTTCTCGCATAGTTGCTATTTTGGGATATTCCTGTATATGATTACTGCTGGTCAGACATATGTAAAGTGCTGAATTAGTTTGATTGCTCCTTTTTTTGTATATCTCCTGAACTTTTTTACCTTTCTAACTCCTTTTCTGCCTATTATCTAGTAGTCCCTATAAGCAAAACTTTATTTTCTTTCCTTAATATAATTCTACTCATAAGGCTACCTTTTCTTTACTCTTTCTTGCTTCTATACTTCTCTGACGAATTCTTTTAAGCATAGTTGCTATTTTAGCCAGAAGACAGAAGGCACATGTGAAGTATCAAATTAGTTCAGACTATATTGCTTCTTATCAGATTAGTTCAGCAAGTAATCCTCCTTTCTTACCTATTACCTGGTAGCCCTATGAATAAAACTTTTATTTTCTTCCTTTAATATAATTCTACTCATAGGGGCTACCTTTTCTTTATACTTATTCTTATTCCTATACTTCTCTGGCAAATCCTTTTAAGCATACTTGCTATTTTGACCAGGAGATAGATATTCCTGTGCATGATTACTGCTAATCAAGTACATGTGAAGTGCTAAATTAGTTCAGGTTATATTGTTCCTTTTTTTTGTATATTCTTCTGAACCTTTCTGCCTTCCCAATCTCTTTTTTGCCTATTGGTGGTAATACATCAAAGCATAACTTCTTATTTTTTCCTATATATTATTCTACTTTAGTGTACTATCAAATTTATATCTTATTTTTCACTCTTGTATTTCTAGAACTCTTTCTTGTATAGTTACTACTCTAAGATACTTTAGGATACTACCACATCAATTACTTTGGGGTATTACCATATCATTTACTTTTGAGTACTACCATTGACCCAGTATTTTGCTAGCAAGTATATTCATCCAAAATTTTTATTTTAAACTTGAGATTTTATTAGTATATATATACTAGAAACTTTCTATTTATCTATACTGAGAAGTTTGTTTTTATCATGTTATTTATGCAAAAAAATGCTAAGCCTTACCCACTTATTTGTTTCAAACTGCTTAAATTAATTTTAATAATCTCAATATTAAAGATATACTATATTCCTATCTTACTGTGAATTATCAATGGAATTTTGAAACATTTCGAGTTATTTTAAAGCAAAAAGAAAGGAAACTTCATAAAGATCTTGATTTTATAAAATATTGGTTAGACTGGAGATAACCTGTATTCATATAATTCTTTATATTTTGTATTATAATTGGATTACAGGAGAAGAAATTGCAAATGTTTATGCAATAATCAAATCCTATATAAATAATCTTATAAGAATTCTTTC